CGGCAAAATAGTGTAAAATATTTCACGGGGGCACTTATCAGTTTACTGGAAATTTAGTAAATGCATTTCTTATGTTTTGTTAATCTTATTCATTTATTGAAAATGTTCTGCCACATCAACATCTATGGTCATTAACGGCGTATTCAAAATATAGCGTTAGGGTGGGGCTTGGGGACGAAGCCCTCAGATAAGAAGTTTTTTTTCTGGATTTCCAGAATGGTCAAAGATCAAAACAAACAAATATGCCAGACATTAAAGGTCACACAGCAGTATGAAAGAGCGGAGAAAAGGATAAAAATGCAGTTAGTTGAGGCGAGGGCTGTGGTCCAAGGTAGGGGTGATCCTCTACATTGGGTCTCAGTTTCCACCTCCTAAGCTCCCTCACAGCAACAATGAGCAATGGATTGGGGGCGGGGGTTTGGTTATTGTTAAGCGGTTATTAATTTCAGTTTTGCGCACGTTTTTCCTTTGTTTCAGATTTAACTTGCCTCTAAATCTACCCCATTCCAATTATTGTTTACTAAATTTTTCTTGTATTTCCCTCAATTTAACCATAAAAATAAGCACCTTAAATCGTTTCTTACAACTGTTTTCACTGTCGATTACCAGCAAAGCACTATTGCATTTCCTCTTAATATCAACATTCTGTAGCTTATGTGAATGACATTGTTGTGTACCATATTTAGTTTTTTATTTAAACTTTCTTATCTGGAAGTTCTGTGGTTTTCTCAATACATAATATTTGGATAAGTTTGGTTGTTGGTGCTATAACTTTGCAGGACTACTTACTTAGCTTGCCAAAGGAAAAAAAAAAAAAAATCTTACTCTCTGCCCTGGACTTAATTATAAGGTAAAGAAGCTCTGCTTTTAATCTCCATTTCATTTCCATAATGAATCTCCTTTTGATCAAGCAGAAGTACCTCAGGATGTCTCCTTTGTATACTTTCTAGGGCCATAGCATTGTCAATATTATACACTCAGTGTATCATCTTCTCCAAACAAGTAGATAAGAAATTTCTTTGAATTGCAGGCACCTTCTCCCTAAGCTCACTAGTACATAATAACAATATCTGCAGACAACTGTGCATCGGTTAATGAGTGAAGTAGCTTTAGTGTAAAGGACCTCCTTGAAATTAAAAATTATTTTGGGACAATACTTTTTGCTGCACTTTCCAATACTTACTGTCTACATTTTGTTATGTAAATATATTCAAGAATATAAAATCATATATCATGAAAAGATAGCACTTTATTGCTGTTGTAAATACATGTAGTGCAACAATATAAAACCTAAATTTTACAGTGAAGGCTACAAGAACATGTAATTTTAAACAGATCTCTAAACAATATCATAATTATATAATGATTAGCATACATATAAAGTTATATGAGAATACAATGAATAAATACAATTTTGATAAAACAACAATGAAATAAATACATAGCACTGGAGCACAAAATAAATAGTATTAGAAATATTTTTTCCATACAATCAGAGATGAGAAATTAGCATGATCTCCATCATGAGGGATAGGCAAAATGTGTATTGGTAGAGAGAAAAGAGAGTTGGATTCAAAGGAAGAGGGAAAAAGGGATGGGTGGCAACATAGGTAGGTAGGTAGGTAGGTAGGTAGGTAGGTAGGTAGGTAGGTAGGTAAGTAAGTATGTAGATACACACAGAGTTCAATAAGTTCAATAAGGTACATAGTTAGGTGGGTGGGGTTGTGAATAGTCATTAGATAGATAGGTTTGGGTGGGCATGTATGTATGTCTGTATATTTGTATGTTTATGTATGGATATTTGTATACATGTATACATATATGTAAGCATGCATGTAGGTGGAAAGGTAGGTAAATGGGTGGGTAGGTTGATAGGTAGGGAGTCAGACCGTAAGCAAATGGGACAGTAGGAAAGCAAGTGGTTGATGAGTAGACAAGTGATTAAGTGGGTGGATGCATTGATATGCAGATAAGTTACCTGGAAACAGACACATTGATAAATAGTTAGGTAGGTAGGTAGGAGAAGGGGTGGTTATTAATGGGATGGATGTACAGCTTGGTAGGATATGAATAAATGGGCAGGTGGGTAGTTAAGAATTTCTGCTTATGTGCATGTAATATATGTTTATATGTATTTATAAAGGTAAGAATGTAGGTGTATCTGCATACTGATATATGTGTATATATGTATACATGTTGGGTGGGAGAGAAGGATGGTGAGATAGAAAGAAAAATAACAAGGAAAAGTGAGTGAATGCAATAATAAATACTTACCTAAACACAAAACTTAATTACTGATATATATAGATTCTAAATTTACAAATATAATATCAAAAGGAAGACTTTTAATACATTAACAGACAAAATAAAGAAATAATAACAATACGCAAATACAATAATATCATCCTCATTTCTTTTCATCTTGAAAGACACTTCAGAAAGTAAGCAAGCTAAAAATAAACCTCACATTGTTTGGGAAGGATGCAATGTTCAGCTCATTACAGGCACTTTTTGTTTACTTGACTTCAGCGAATGGATTTTACTGCTTGTCCTGATAAGGCACTTGTATACTACTGTATCTATTTTTGCTGTTGCTATAAATGAAATACAGTATTACTTAATCTATGAAAAAAACGATATTACAATCATTACTATGTGAAGCAAATATTCCTAGTTCTATCAAATATATGAAATAAATTTGTACATTCTCATTTGTTTTGATCATAACCATTTCTGAGTAAGAAATTGAAACTACAGGCCTTGATTACATCCTCAACAAATGCAACACCAAATATGCCTCAATAAAGTTTAATGTATCACGAGATAATTAGTTTCTAGGGCGTTATCAGCTTGTTTGTGAAGTTGAGCCAGAATCTTGTTTGAAGTTGTGATTATACTAATACTTTGTGAAAATAAAGCAGATGAAAATAAAAAATATGGCAAAGCTGCAGGATTTTTGTGAAATTATCCTGGCAAGCTATATTAATCTTTACTGCTTGTCTAAAATTGTGTTTATTATCATAAGTTGTTTCTGAGCAAGTTGTTTCTATATTAGGACGGACACTGTTGCATAAGAAGAAATTTAAGTCAAGATACATATATGAGCATATGAATCATAAATATGAGCTGGTATTTTGGCATTCTTTAATATTGCACAAATATTAACATCCTAAACTATGTGAAGGATTAACTTGATGTTTGACCTGTACTGAAACATCCTTACTGAAAATGTGGCATACGTAAGCAATATATATTTATAAAATAAGTTGACAATATGCAAAAACAATTACCCCCCCCCCCCCCCCCAAAAAAAAAAAAAAAAAAAAAAAAAAAAAAAATATATATATATATATATATATATTAAAAAATAAAAAATAAAAAATAGATAAATGGCACAATTTTGACTCTTTTACCAACATGATAAATCTCCATAAACAATTTACATCATTCTTACATGGAATCTTTGCATTACAGTCCCTACAAAGTAGAATATCATATACAATAAGTATAACATGCACATATGTATGATATTACTACCATCATGTCTATTTTTTCTTCTTTTACATCATATAAAATACAAAGCACTTTCATGACAATATAATATTAACCCACTGGTCACAGATGACAAGGTGTGCCATGTACACTATAATTTTGATTAATTAATTGCGTTTAAACAAAGATGGTTCCACAAGAGCTTAGTTAACATGGAGACAACTACTAAGTCTCTATTTCACATGTTTACCCTTTCTTATGATTTTTGGAAAGATTAATTTATTTATTGTTAGTAACATTTTAATATTATAATAATATCAATGTCAGTGATAATAATAACAGTATCAATATTAATGGCATCAGAAAAAAGACTAAATAAATCTGAAAACTGACATCTTGTGGTTTAACACTTGTGGAGCCATCTGTGTGAAATAAAATTCACAAAACATGACAGTGAACGGTGACCTATAGGTTAAAATATACATGACAAATTATATGTATACACTAAAGTGTAGGTAAACAATTATCTACGAACATTTGATGCTCTTATAACATTAAAAATTAAAGATTTGTGATGAGAGAGTATTAATAATAAAAAACTAACTATCCATTTCTGGTATAAGCTGAGCAAGGACTAGCCATGGGCTCTGTTTTCCAAAGGAATCAATTAAGACATCAGATCTCTTTAAATATTATAAATAGGGAGTGATCCCAGTCAACATCTACCAGGTGCTAAAAATGTTATGAAAATGGAAACACCACAATCTCTGGTATCTACCTACCTTAATATAAAATATTCCATTCATTTAGGTAAGTTGCTCCATCCATAAATTTTTTCTATAATTCAAAATCACAGTTAAACAGTTCTAAAGAACTACACTTATTTCCTTGTGGATTTTTAAAACTAAAAACAAACACAATGCAAATAGTCTTAATCTTTGTTAATAAACGTAATGTTGAAAAAGTTATCCAAAAACACTGAGATTTCATACCCTCTTTCCTTAATATCACATGCACGTTCACAAGCTGTTGAATATTTATGAGATTATGTTTCTGAATAAAGGGTACAATGTTTGTATTACCCCCAAAAAAGTAAAACAGAAAGAAGAAAAAGAAGAAGAAAATTGAAGGTAGTGCATAAAATCTACACTTAGCAACTGGTCAGTTGCAACAAGGTAAACTTTAATAAAGTTTACTATTTTATAAAACCATATAAATATCAAATTGAAGCATTACAACATAGAAATGAGAGTATATATTGTTATCACTTTCTATTTTCTTTTATCTACAAGACAAAATGCAACCATTTTGAATATTTATCACTTTTCATTCATTCTTTTCACTGTAGATAAAATTCAGTGTAAAAAAAAAAGAGAGACTTTTAACCCCTTGGTGCCGGGTGACGCCGATCGGCGTGTAAACAAAGAGCTCGAAAGCAGGCGTGCAGCCGAATGAGCCGGCGGCGCGCCAGTGATTCGGGCTGATGTCCCCTACTCACACGCTCAAAGTCGGCGCCTTTGTTTGTTTAAGCGTAGAGTTTTTTTTTTTCTTTTGTACACCCGGCGCCATTGGGTTAACAAAAATGCTGACATCTCAAAAATGAAACAGTTCCCTGTTTCTGAGTAAAGGTATACAAGTGTTTTTAACCCCTTATCTATCTTATTTGTTCCCACAGCAAAATGGTTGACTATAGTCAAAACTTGTGTACAAAAATGTCATACAATAATTGATGTCTTACAGGAGTTTGAAAACAAAGTCTGGCCTGTAGTCACACCAACTACCAGTGCTCAGTGGAAGCAGAACCATAACACACAAAAAGCAGATGGCACTCACGAGGACATTGGTAGATTTTATTTTGTAGACAGTTTTTGACTGATGTTTCCTCTTGCACACACAAAAAAATCACTTTGGCCTACATTTTGACTGTCCACCTCAGTCTGCCATCCCTTATGATAGTTATATAAAGGGTTATGTTACACGATAAAAATGCATGTATAAACTTTGTTCAAAATGGCACAATAAATATAATGTTTTGCCCTTTCTGCAGAAAAATGTGTATTTGCATGTGCATAAGTAGGTGCAAAACAACACCTGCATAGTAGTATATGCAAAACTTTGAAATAGTGAACTATTTTCTTCTAGAAAAATAAAATCTGTAAGCAATTACCTCCTATCAGATAAACCTGAACTTTGTCATCATAAATGGTCCATCTGAGAACATAATTCAATGTGATTTCAGCCTGGGGAAAAAGCATCCTTACCCAATAAATTTCACATGCAATGGTACATGGATAGGCCCTCTTTAAATTCCTTCAACATTTTTTTCATGTGATATGGTTCGCAACAAGACTGGGTCAACTCCTTCTAGTGGCTCTATTGCAAAAGAGGAAATAAAAACATTGACAATGGTAATGAGGAACACACCAAGGACTACCCAGTTGTTGAGCCTGTCTGCTTTTTGGGCATGGGCCTCATCCCTCACATTATACCGTCCGATGAATATCAGTGTTATGCCAATCATCACCTGAAACCGAAAAATAACAAAAGTTTTATGGGTGCTAAATCAACATACATTCTTAAATAGTCAAAAGATATTCAACTTTTTTCAACTGCTTACTCATCAAATTCATATGCCATACCAGCAAATATATGAAACAATTATCTGATAATAGTTCAGAGGAATTACAAATTCTTGAGTTGTATTTCTTTACTTCTTCTTCATTTACTTGGAAAGTCCCTTAACCCAATGGCACCGGGTGTACAAAAAAAACAAAAACAAAACAAAACAAAAAAACAACAACAACAACTCTACACTCTAGCAAACAAAGGCGGTGTGCCGACTTTGGTATAGTCAGACAATCTATTATTTAGTAGGGGACATCAGCCCGAATCACTGGCTCACCGCCACCGCGTACGGCTGCACGCCAGCTTTCGAGCGGTTTGTTTTCACGCTGATCGGCATCACCCGGCACCAAGGGGTTAATCTTGTCAATCTAATGCTAATGAACTTGAACATTTATATACCTCATTCATTTATAGTTAATAAATAATGAACTCTAAAATGCTTTAACCCATTGCCTCCGGGAGAATATGGGGTTCACTTGGCCTCCACTCTGGGTAGTTTGCATGGGTTACTGGGCATTTTCAATAATCTTATTTTAATGAAGTACAAGAATGTATGCAGTGACAGAAAGCTGCTGGCCCCGCTGCTTGTCCTTACCATATTTGTGTCATACTTCAACACTGGCAGAGTGCCAAGACACAATGTGAGTATTTGCTGTGAAGAGACAGATCTCATAAACAAGAGTGAAGGTTACAAGTTCACATCAGCAGCAAGAAAGCGCCATGTTTTGGTAACTTCTACACATGGCAGGTGAATAAATTATGTGTTAAAATTTGCCCATTATACAAACCAATAGCATTACACATCCCATTCTCCGTCAGGCAATGCCCCAAAGCATATAGTGTAGGCATGAGGGTTCCTTGTAAGGAACAGCATAAAATGATGTGAATGACCTGTCACTTGTTGCTGTGTCCAAGACGGTGTGACACAAACTACACGTCATCTGTATGCTATGAGTGAGCTTGAATATAAAATATATACCAAACATTTTAAAATCAACCATTAACCCCTTGATGATGGGTAAAGAAAACAGCCGCACGCCACAGATCTAGTAGTTTGTTTTGACGCCTCACAGCATGACCCATTGGGAAGGGGTTAATGAAGAGATATAATTGAATGATTAATAATTAAAAAGCAAATAAATGTGCTAGACACCAAAGTTCAGATAGCACTTTAGGAAAGTCTAGTAGCAAAAAGGGTAAATAGAGGGTTAATGAGTTATATGTGGAGGAGGAGAATGGATGTTAGCAATCACTTTTAGTATAGAGGGAATGGGAGATGGAGAGATTGGATGAAGGATAGACATGATTTTTTTGGTTCATGTTTAGAGAATTTTGAATCTCAGGAGCAGAGGAAAAGATAGGTGTAGGAGAGGATGTGGTAGGAAAGGATGATCTGGAACATTTAGACTGTCTGATGCCATGGGTAGAGTGAGGAGGAGCGGCAGAAACATGAGTATGACTGAATGATTATGGACAGGTTGGGAATACAAAAAGCCGTGTGTTGTGGAGTGACAGTGCTTGGCAAGGTGTCCAAAACACCAACATTTCTGACATTGATGTTGGTATAGTCAGACAATCTATTATTTACAGTACAAATGAAACACTCACCTGGAAAATGATACTCATGGAGATGAGGACAATATTGACGTAGTAGTAGGAGCCCTTTCTCCCAATCTCCCCTGCCTCCAGTACGTAACGCAGCTGATTGGCATTTGCTGTGAGTAGTGCCAGGTCCATCATACCCTGTGCAACTGTCTTCTTGGTTGCATACAAGTTCACATCCACTGGTTTCCTTCC